TTTCATTGGATATAAAACACTTTTGGTTATTCATTTTTTTGGCGCTTTCAAAAACGAAGAGTAACCGAATCACAAAGTAATAAAACCTGTAAAACTGTTGATAGCTAGGTAGCATGGGACTAATAGTAGGTCAAAGCTTGTGTCACTTTGTAGATCCAATCCTGCTACACTGTAACAATACATTTGTACGCAATCAAATTATGCGCGTTAATTCATCACCTTCGTAATACTTTTTTGAAGGCTGTATCAATATAGAATACACGTCCAATACCATTGTTAAGAATGGCGATTTTAATGAAGGGTAACAAACTTTAGAAGCGATTTTCCTTAGGTTTCATTTGAATATAACTAGACTATCAGAGATATGTATATGTGCCTTTTATCATATACTTACTGTTAAACCATAAATTATTATCATACGGTTTTTCGTTCCTATTTTGTTGACGGTTTATGATTTACAGTCTTTCCCTACTCACCGCCTTTTTGACCCACCAGTGTAGAATTGTTAATTTCCACTTATTGGCGTGGGGTGAGCCAGTTTGCATGTGTCAATAAAGGGCTGTTGGAAATATAATAGCCAAATTTTGGATTGACGATAATTAGTCTTTGTTCTTCTTCTTCGACTGGGGCGAGTTAATATTAGTATGTCGTTCGGGCATAGATTTTACATTCCGTTCATTATAAATCTTATTTACTAAAAATAAAACAATACCCTATCGCTTGCTTGATCAATAGTGTACTTTGATATATCTGAGTTGTTATTAATACGGATAATTTCGATTCAAGTCAATTTAACATTCTGCCAGATAGTAAGTAATCTCATCAGATTACTGACAACCATTTTAAATGATATATAAGAAGCGTAAACATTACAAATATATCATTAAAACCACTCACGTACACAAAAATGCCTAGCCTTGTGCATTCTCGATATCTTGACAATTAAACACTTTTACTTAAATTTACACACAGAGCTTGGGGTAGACCACAGCAACTGCATATCACATTTAAATGAGGCAGTTGAATACAAGACAAAGGACAAATCTTTACCAAATATTTCTCGATAACCTTATTTAATAATACAATGGTTTTTATTTCTAATCAACTCATCAGGATAGTTTTGTGGGAACAAAGAAGAAATAATCCAGTAAAACTTCTTAAATTATAATCATAGATAAAAAAGTGCACGACCTTATCTAACTAAAGCTTATTGGAATTAGTAAATGCTTACTTGTATTCAATTTATTGCAATTACACATAAAATATAAACATAATTCTTTTATCATTGAAGAACTATTAAAAACTTAAGAAACAACACAAGACAATCATAGATTATTTTATAGTACATCTAAGCAAACCATAAAAATTACAACTGAAAAATTTGGAAATTTTGGATAAAACATAAATTTAGTAGGTAGTTTCAAAGAAAGAGAGAATTAGTGAAATTACAGCAGCTCAGTTAGTTCTAGAGAAATAATGATCAATAGCTTTGTGTGATGAATGGAAGATACAATAACTGTACAGTTAAATATTTTATATTGTATTTAAATGTAATACAATGTAAATTCACAATGTGTGCTTTGAATTCGAATACTTCTTGGTACTTCTTGTTGAAGTTCTAGTTATTTTGGGTAATTGGTATCGCGTTAGATTATTGCGAATTCGCACAGTGGCATAGACACTTACTTACTTAATTACTTACGCCTGTTACCCCCAATAGAGCATAGACCACCGACCAACTTTCTCCAGCCAACTCTATCCTGGGCTTCCCTTTCCAGTTATGTCCAAATTTTTTTCATTCTTCTCATATCTTTCTCTATTTCTCTGCGTAATGTGTTCCTTGGCCTTCTTCTTTTCCTTTTACCTTGAGGGTTCCATGTGAGGGCTTGTCTTGTGACGCATTTGCTACTTTTCGCAATGTGTGTCCTATACATTTCTACCGCTTCTTCCTGATTTCTTCCTCCACTGTAATCTGGTTTGTTCTCTCCCACAGTAAGTTTTTGCTGATCGTGTATGGCCAACGAATCCAAAGTATTTGCATAGACAACCGTTAATAAACACTTATATCTTATGGATGATGGCTTTCGTAGTTCTCCATGTTTCCGCTCCATACAGTAGAAATGTATTGACATTTGTATTGAAAATCCTTATTTTGGTTTTGGTTGAGAGCTGTTTGGAGTTCCAGATATTTTTCAACTGTAGAAATTCAGCCCTTGCTTTGCCGATCCGCGCCCTCACATCTGCATCGGATCCACCATTCTCGTCGATGATGCTGCCCAGATATGTAAAGGTGGCATAGACACTCTGGCAGTTAATTGTATAAAAGACTAATCAAACTGAAATTTGTCAACCATTGAAAATGTATGGCATTCAGGGAAAAATTGCTCAAATCCAAATCATACTGATTTATAAGCGAACAAACATGATCAAATTTTTGTTTTATGAACATCTAATTCGACGTTGTCTTTTTTAAAATGTCTTTCGAAGCATTTAAAACAATATGATCCGTTGTCTAAATAGTTGAACATTTAACCTAGTGGCACACATTGCCAGAAATCAGACTGATACTGCGTGCTACATAAGTCGGAAGGTTTGCAAGCTTTCTATACTTGGTCTAGTTTATTTACTTTATTCTAATTTGAAAATCAGCCTAAAATGTTTCAAAGGTATCTCAGATCTATAAATAAACTAATAAGACAGTCTTTATGTCGATATTTCAATAACTTGCCATAGAACTGCTTCATATTGACCCTGCTGAAGTTGCATAAAAAATTTGAGATTATGCACAGAAAGGAAGAAATTACAGTAACACAGAAGTCTAGTCTCCAGTTGGTATGATGGAGTTGATTAGCACTAATGACATGTATTTTAAAAAATTAGGAATATCAGAAGACAATCAGTTTCATGTAACTTTGTTTAATCGCTAGTTTAAAAAGAATAACACTATTTAAGTAAATTTTTGTTATGTTCGTCACTAGGTACGCTTGAAGCTATTACGAGTTCACCTTAGTCAATAAAAAGCGAACGAGACAATTACCAGCGTCCAGATAGGCTACCTCGAATCCCAAGCTGTAAACAGAAGTCTTGGTTAGCGTAGAAAGTATATTCTACAAACACCCAGTAATCACAATACAATCAAGCACACAACTATCGTTATTTATACATCATTGAAACGTCCTTGGGACAGTTACAAAAATAGCACACTAAAATACACAGCAGCTAATCACAGCTATGGATTTTCGTGGTGGGAAATAAAATCTCAAGGTCAACTGATCAGCCCATGCTGGCAAACGTGAAATCCAAAATAAGGCATTTATCAAGCGAGTTCTGGGGATCTAACATGCCCAACAATTTTATTAAAGAATTTGAATGAAAATGATTTGTACTGATTGATTTGATCAGAGAGTAAATTGCTCACTGCTATTGTTCTGCCGAAATTTCCAATAAAATAGATTCCGACTGATTCATTACCGATATAAGATTTTAATTGTTAATTAAGCTACTTTTTGTCAATGACACCTAACTATGAGTGGCGTATATTTACAATCATTTCTATAAGTGACATTCCGTTTTCAAGACTTCTCAATATACATGCGCTAATAGTCACAAATATAATCTAAGACGAATGATAACCTGATTTCCACAGTTGTTGTTTAATTGTGAAACACATATTTCGAAGCAGGTCTCAATGCGTCTTTTAAGTTGACTAATGTTTACTGATTCATTTTCTATCTGTAGCATGGTCATTTCATCTATACATTCAACATACATTCTGTTTATCCCGGATAGATCTCTAATCACTGTTACAAATCTTTTCTTTAAATTGGAACAAGCTCATTTTGAACAGTTTTCATTTTGTAAAAACTGAATTCAACGTGAATACTGAGAAATGCCCAATATATATATATATATTACTAAATGTTTGTTGAAACAGTAGTAAATAATATTACTATTACATGATCAATGAATATTTTCATTACATCAATCTATTGCTGGGTTGCTAGAACAAAAATTGAAAATTGAATCAACACTGCACCGCGCTATCATCACCAAGCATGCTATAAATTTCAAAATGTGTCTATCACTCCATTTTAATGAATTCTTTCATAGAATATAAATAACGCATCATTTTATTATTTTTTTTTTTACAAAAAGGGTGCATTTCTAATTGATTCTAATTAATTGACAAATTTCGTAACATTGTACAATTTTTTATTAATTACATTGTAAACTCATTGAATGAGTATAAGATGTAAGTAAAGTAAAAGAATACATCATTTTATTTTTTTGTTGTAGTTAGTAATTTAACATTCCAGTTGATCGGTCAACATTAGTTGAACTCTTGTGTGCATGATACTCTGATGTTCACTATCATCCATAAATCAATGGTTGTTTTTTTTAAAAAGTTTTGTTTAACTGTATGTTGGTATGTAATAATCGATTTTGGTGTAAATTTGAAATGTAAATGTTATCATGCTTCTTTACATAGCCACCAGCTAAATACACACACACACACACACATGCACATTCGGCGAGAGATGGAGAGAGATAGAGAGATAGAACAAGAAAGGTAAACATCTCATCTCTTTATGACGATTGGATGATTACAGTGTAAAAGTGAAAGAATTAAACTAATGTGAAAATGTCTTTAATTTTATGTTAACTAGAATTTGAGAGAATAAAAAAAAAAGATTACAATGCACATAAATTTGTTTAGAAAAAAATATAGAAGAAAGAAAAGATATTTCTTCAGTAATTTCATAGTTGATAGTGAACTCATCTGGTATTATTGAGTAATTTATTTGTGAATACAGTACGGATTACTACTGCTTCTACTACAACTACTGATAATCATCTTTGTTTAGCTGACTTTGCCAGCTATTCAAACAGCCAACAGCATAATTCTCCTATTGTGACACTTATTCACATAAAAAAAGGCTCAACGGACAGTAATATCACAAAACTAGGTAACTGGATCAACAACAACAATAACATTAAAAATGGAGAATCGTCGTGCATTAATGAAATCCACTGATATGCAACCGCCATTACAAAAAATCATTGTAGATTTATGCGCTATAGCCACGGAACAATATGATCAAGAAAGAGATATTGCATCGTATGTGAAAAAACATATGGATAAATATGATGGTGGTGTTTGGCATTGTGTATTGGGTAAAAATTTTGGATGGTAAGTCTGTGGTCAGTAACAATGATAATCAATAAACCAGTTTGTATTTATTTGTATTTGTATTTTATTTAAGAGGAATTTATGATTTTGGAGAGAGCACCGTATTCTTTAATCAGTATGATGCTGTGGTCTATTCCGTAAATATGAAAAATATTTTCATACGAGAAATTGTGATATAAGATGGAAATTTGAGGGTTTGTTAATCACATAAGCAGGTTTTGTAGCCGCAAGTCAAAGTGGACATTAGATGGTTATATCGACATTAATTTCTATTACACATTTGAAATCATCAATCGATCATTATTAGATCGCCATTAGAAACCTAAAAGAACTGAAACACGGCCGTTTCGTCCTGGTATGGAACTCGTCAGCAGTGCACATTCACGATTCCTGCACCTAGCAGGATTCGGAACCAGCCCTTCGGCATTGTGAGCGAACGCCTGACCATTGGACCACTGAGCCAGCGTCCAACGATGTTAATTTCTAACTCTGATCGATCTAGGGATTTTGTGCGACCTCACCCATTTGTCTTTGGTAGTTACTGCCTACACCCGAAAGAGATGAACTCCACTGGTCACTGTTATTTACATGTAGTATACAGTAAAGTATGATCTCATACTTCTATCTCGTATATAAATTGAACAATTTCAATTACTTCTTCATTATTTTCGTTGTATTCAATTCGATTATTAGGTATTATTTGTCTGGTGTTGAAAATTGTTTCTCAACTGGTGTAAGGACTTGTCACCATTCATTTCATGATATGAATTTTTCATTCTCATGACATTTTGTATAATGAAGGTTATTGATTTAAATTAAATCTTGGATACAGTCTTGCAATAAGAGATAAAGGTTGATAAATGATATATTTTTATTCACTTTTATTGATCTCCGAAAAAAAACTGGACTTGTATTGTTGTTTAGTCAGTTTGTAGTGAACTCTGATTATATCCAGTCGATATAAAGAATGAAGGTCATTACTGTCTTGTGTGTAAAGGAATGAAACTGTTCATTTGACAATGATTTTTCTTCATTAAAACTTATTCATTAGATTATGAAGTATTATTGCCATTTTTTCAACTTGCTGTAACGTTTTCATGTTTTGCATATTTTCTGGGTATCAGTAATAGTAGAGATATTGAAGCTTCTGTAATGTGATTATCTTGTCTTATGGGGTTGTGGAGATTGTTGAGTTACTTTAGGAAATCATGAATCGATCAATGTTAGACCACCATTAGAAACCTGGAATCACTGGATGGCTGTTTCGTTCTGGTCAATGAGGTTGAGCAAGTCCGTGAATTGATCGAAGTTAGACACTGACACCGTTAGACACCAACTCAGTGGTCTAGAGGTTAGCGTGGAAGCCTAAAGGCGCCGCGTTCGAATCCTGCAACGTGTAGGATTCGTGGATGCTCACTGCTGTTGAGTCCCATACCAGGAGACGAGACAGCCGTCCAGTGCCTCCAGGTTTTTAACGGTGGTCTAACGTTGGTCGATTCATGATTTCTAAAAGATCATCTTGTCTACAAAAATAATGAATTACTGACAATTATCCTATCCAACATAAATAACAAACCTAGTCTTAAGATACGACGCTTATAATTGTTTCATCTAATTCATAAAGTTAGCTATTAAAATTGGATTTATAGCCTACAAAATAACTACTGAACATAAGAGTTGAATATGTTACTAGGATTTCAATGTACAATATCTCTTATTATATTCAATGGATAAATATTGTTATAATTTGTTTCTGGCTTTCTTTGTCAACGGTTGAGCAAGTATAAGCATTCTGCAAATAAGAGTGAAACAGTTACTGTGTACCTTATTTTAATTGTCTAAGGCCATCTATTTAGGTCTTATAACAACACTACTGTGGTATATAACAACTTGCCAGTTTTTACAGAAAACAATAGTGTTAGTAAGAGCTTGAAATAAAATCTTTAAATGAAAATTTCTACTCTTTTATAAATAGAATGGTGATAGATTTCACACATCATGAGATTTTTTTGAATGAATGAATAACTTGAAAACTATGCAAGAATTTGTACCGCATATAGAAGTGAAATCAGACGTGCACACACACACACAGAGTAGAAAGCAAACAAAAATAGACTGAATGTTCATCTCATACAAAATGTTAATCAATAAGTGATGAAGTTATGTAGCTTTATGGATTAAAAAACTAAGTTGATGAATGCTGGTCGGTAGCCTTCTATGCATCATTGAAAGTAACAGGCATAAGTAAATAAGTAAGTAAGTAAGTTATATTTAGTAGAATGAATATAGTTTATTTCTAAATCTAAATGTTTTATAGATTATATCATAAAAACAATTTCTAGAAAATCCTATCCACTTAAAAAATAATAATAGCTAATGTCACAATGATCACTTACTTATCATGACATTCAAATGTACAGAACAAGTATAATTCACCAACCAGTCGAAGTATCTCTTTTCGTTTATGTGTAAAAAATCTTTTACCCTTAGCAAAATAAATGTTTGACTGTTTGAAATGAAACCAGCTTAGTATAGTACAAAGTAATAGTTAATATCCTCATGATCACTTACTTAGCATGACATTCAAATGTACAGAATAGGTATCATTCACCAACCGATCTAAGTATCTGTTTTCATTCTTGTCAACTATTTGAATTAAGAAATGGAAATAATTTTGAGCACTGATGAATTTCCAGTTGACAGTCAGTGAAATCAAGATCGTAGAAGAACCTATTTAAACGTATTCTATAACATTTCAGATTAGTTGAGGAAAAATTCAGAATACAGACTGATTAAATAAGATTTATTCATGCATGGGGGCATGCAAATTTCCAGTCAATTGATTTTTATTTTAATTTTGACAATAAAATTTTACATACGTATACACGTGATCAATGAGACTTTCCATTTTTTTTTCTATAGTTTTTAATCTTAGTACTTATTCTCAGAGTAGTAAAAATTAGTGGCATGAAAAAGTTGCCTAGATTATTTTTTATGAATAATTTAATTACAAATCGCTTGTGATACAAAAATGTACACTGACAAACTTTACAATATAAAATTAAAATTACTTTAACAAAACTAAAAAACATTTGAGAATTTTCCCCCCAAAAAAATCACATTTATCCCTTGAACAAAATAGTAGCTACTGTATTTTAGTGATTAAGTGATTGACTGCATTTGACAACTGTAAATCATGTCAAATCCCATTTGCTTTCAAGTGAAAAATACATTTTGTACAATAATGAATTGCTAACTAGACACTGTAGGTTAGCTTTACGGACTTACTTAGGTCTGTTATCCTCAATGGAACATTGGCCACCAGTCAGTATTTTCCAACCTACTCTGTTCTGTGCCTTCATTTCCAGTTCTGTCTAGTATTCGTTCCTTCTTCCCATATATGTCTCCATTTCTCGGCGTAATATGTTTTTTGGTCTTGATTAGTTTTAGTCGACGAAAATCATATATGTTGATCTTGGTGTCAAAAACGCATATCTTATTTTCAATTCCAAATTAAAACGCTTCATTTTGATTGACTTGATTTCTTTACACATTTGAAATCATCAATCAATCATTGTTAGATCACCATTAGAAACCTGGAAGCACTGGACCGTTGGATGCTGGCCCAGTGGTCCAATGGTTAGGCATTCGCTCACTATACCGAAGGTCCCGGGTTTGAGTCCTGTGAGGTGCAGGAGTCGTGGATGCTCACTGCTGATGAGTCCCATATCAGGACAGAGCGGCCGTCCAGTGCTTCCAGGTTTCTAATGGTGGTCTAACAATGATTGATTGATGATTTCATATGTGTAAAAACACTAATCTCCATGACTCTAATTGAAAATGATTTGATTTTCATTTGAAATACATACATTTGCAAATGATATTCGCGTTTCCAAATCATTTAAGAAATGAGAAGAAAGTTTCGCAGAATACGATGTTATAAGTAAGGTTTACAACTTAATTCAAACAAATAAATTGATATACTTTAGGGCAATTACAAACGTTTTAACGTGGAATATCAACAAACAACGATGGTAATGTATTCTACTGTATAAACATAACTGAAATTTGTAGAAAAAAAGTACTAAGAGTAAAGTTAAAAGCTTTATTGTTTTGATGTATGGCAGACCTGAGCATTTACCATCAGAAGTAATAACCTTCCTACTTATGATATATCAGTTACCAAATTGAAAAATGCATCCGGTTCGGTATACATCAGTAAAATGACAATGAGTCGTAGTACAAAATGAAATCCTGGTCTACATATTACATAATTAAGATGACTGATTGTTGATTGTTCAATTCATTCTACAAGTGAAATATTTCAACTGGTCAATTTTTTTGTGAATTAAATAAAAAACAGTCAATATTATCGGCACTATTCAATTTTTCCAAAAAGTGAATAGTGTACGTTTTTTTTAATTGAATAAAATTATATAAGATGAAATAATTGTTCCGGTCTAGAAAACTTTTATCAAACCACAAAGATATCCTACCGACAGATGCTGATAATGTTGAGGTGGTTGGGACATGTGTTACGTAAGCCTAACCACAGACTGCCTCGACGAGCTATGTTTTGTGGTGTAGGAGTAGGTTGGAAGAAAGTTAGGGGTGGCCAGACCAAAACATGGCACAAATCCATGAAGTCACTGACAAGTGGACTGAGTCATGTTGGTAGATGTAGACTACCTGGTTGGGGTCCCCAAGACGAAAGTCACCAATGGTTAGAGACCTTGAACGATATATGGCTCAAAGTCGTTTGCAATGGCGCAGGTGCATCCACTCTTTGAGCTCTCTCAAATCCTAATCTTCTGGATTCGTCAGCACCACTACCTTTGTCTTTCTAACCTTATCTCACTGAATTATATTTCTTGAATAATATCTTCGAACCCTAGTCTTCTTTATTAACATTAATACCTATACTATCTTTATCACTATGGGATTTGATTTGACATTTGCGTCTCTGTGCTGTGGTATGGCAACATGAACTTATGTACATACGTACGAAGTTCTACATTGCAACTGACTGACTGACTGACTCATACTGATTCTTATTAACAACCAGTCAATCATCTTGATATTATAATTTTCGAATCTTATTTTCATTCAATGACTGATAGATACTTGTGTATCAGTTTTCTTCTTAATGTTTGCTTTCTAACCAGGATTAGTTAATTCCGCTGATTGGAGCTGCTTTTTCTCTTATAAGTACACTTCCTTTAGTAGAAGACCTTATTACATCATGCATTAAAATTATTAATTTGGCAAGCATAATCTATTGAATATTGAATAAAGAATCATTTTTATTATTTTGTCAATGTGAAATAAATTTTACATCAATACAACAATTGGGAGTATGTGATTGATTATTGAAAAAAACAAACATTGTTTACATGAACTAATAGGTAGGTATGGCAGAAGATTGTAAGTGATATGAAGTAGGTGTTTGACTGTAGATAACCAATTTTTAGTGATAAGTCATATGATTCTAACTTATTCAGTCTGACAGTAAAATAATTATTAGATGATTGCTATCGAACCAATGCTATTTTAATAGCTTAATGAAAGAGCTTATTGATGAATACAGTATACAATATATATATAATTTCAAAAAACAGGCAGTCAATAAATACTGTTGCGGAATCTTAGTTAAGACAAGACTTAAACTGACCAGCCACCAATCAACCAGTAATTCGGCAATCCGTTTGGATCAACAAGTCTTTTACTTAACCATCACAAAATGAATCTATTTAGAAATCTTCTTAATAACTTAGTATTTAAATCTAAATAACTTTTGATCACAAATAATAGCACCTAAGTACTAAACATTTTTAAACAGCTAGATGATATCAGTTAAAGCACCAATAAAGCACTGCGAGCAATGAACTACCGTTTGCTGTAAGTTTGTGCAAAAGTTTGAGCTCAACAAATTCTGGTCTCGGTCCAAGCTATTAGGATGAGATCCGAAGGTAAGAAATTTCAACTGTAGTCAATTTCTGGCATTATTGTAATATGAAGCACTGCAAATAAAGAGTAGTTGTATCATCACTCATTACGATCCTAATAAGAAGTCACAAACTGGACAAAGATCGCTTATTAATCCTAGTTGACTGAGGCTACAGCATAGCTTGATTGATTGTGACTGATTGGTCTGTAGAAATTGTAACCACCTTAAAACATGAAGCTCTTGTGCATTAGTTGAACAATAACAAAACATTTCGAAAAAAGACGAAACATTTGTCTGCCTATTGAACTCTAACTTATCCAGGTTAAATTGAATCCTGCTGAATAATTCTCACGCAGTTTTTCATTTTTAATGTAAACACACTCTAGAATTTATTTTCATTTCAAAGTCGAAGAAAACCAAACTGACTGTAAAGTCACGAATTTCATCACAAACTACAAATGATTATCAGACTCACTAAAGTATATTGTCAGTCAGTTATCAGTTTTAGATTCAAATGGAATTCCTTAATTTTACCCAAGGATAGTTTCACATATTATGTAGTATCCTTATTGTAGTATAGTCATAAAATTTTACAGTTAAAAATTTCTCTCAGATCGGCTAAAAAAGGAAAATGTAAGTAAATGAGTGTTATTCTTTGACTGGAGGTAAAAAAACAGATATTATTTAGAACTCGTCAGAAGTAATTTACTTACGCCTGTTACTCCCAATAGAGCATAGGCCTACCTACCTACCTACTCTGTGCTGGGCTTCGCTTTCCAGTTCTTTCCAGTTATTTTTCATTCTTCTCATGTATGTCTCCATTTTTCTGCGTAATGTGTTCCTTGACCTTCTTCCTTTCCTCTGACTTTAAGGGTTCCAAATGAGGGATTGTCTTGTGACACAGTTGGGTGCTCTCCTCAACGTGTGTCCTACCCACTTTCAGCACTTCTTCCTGATTTCTCCCTCCACTGGAATCCCGTTTGTTCTCTCCTACTCGTTTAAAGCTTATTCACATTATCATCACATTCAATATCAGGTCATATTTTGTAGATTCATTTATTTTTAAAAGTTGAACTTTGTTTATCATTGATCAACTATATGAAATGTGAACAAATTAACTGTTTTTGTTACTACCTTCGTAAACTATTGATTATCTTAGATTTAATCATTCATAACAAAGTTCTAATTATTCTGTTTAGCTGTTGTTGTTCCGTTTTCTTTCAAACTGGCATTTATTCTTTAAATTTACTTTTACAGTTACGTATCACATATGGATGGATATTTTAGTTATTTAGAATTTCAAGGAAAATCAGTGATCGTCTTTCGAACACAATAAACAACATGCCGACATTATTATCATATTTTTTTGGAAGAAGAAGAAGAGATATTGTTTTGTATAATTGTTATTGTTATTATTGTATTATGTATGTGTATACAAATTAAATATAGATAAGTTTGTATTCTATTCTGTATGAATCGTTTTGTTTTTTTTTCTAATCATTTTAAAGTTCATAACATTCTTTTGAACAAACAATCTTGCATAGGACTGCCACCAGATATCGTAAACTCTGGTTCGAAACGTTGGTTGAGAATAATCAACAAGTCATACCTATAACCTGACAATTGTTCGTTCATTAGGTAGTGACCAATATCATGTGCATCAGCTGCCCCCATGTATTGATCAAATTCTGTCAATCGGGTTGTGATGTGACAGCTAATCTAGATAATTCAACATCTCATTAACTATGGTGAGATGTAACGTGGTGGATAGAGGTAGTCAACAGTAAACCTTGGACCTACGTTTCATGCCATTCGGTACTCGTAAGCAAGGTATACCTGTAATCTAAAAGGGAACTAATGTTCCCTTGCATATTTGATCACGTGTCACACAGCTTCACAGTCAGGAACGTTCTAAACAGCATGAAATCTAGGTTCACAGTCTCTTGTTGGTTACCTTTAATCACTACCCAAAACTTTAGGAAAAATAACGTATCATGCTGTGTCATTCATTAAAATTTCTAGGATATTAGTAGTTGCTCCAAGCTTGCAAGTGCTCATTGCTGGTATGTGATTTATTAACATGAAACCCAACTGCTAGCTTTCTACCCAATCCTTTTACAACAATTAGAGTTCCCGAGGTGTCAAGTTACTCAGCCAATTCGTGTAAAGAACTATATCGTAAGATACTGGCTTGCGTTCTATGGCCGAACTATGGGATACGGTATTCATCACTAAATCTACATAACAAACCCATATTTTTGGCTTGACTAATGGAAAAATCGGGGCTTCTAGTCTTTACATCACTGCTTTTGCAATAAGTCCTGGTATTGGTGATCCCATAGGTTTTCCTCTCGTTTGTTCGAGGATTTTGTTGTTGGATTGCAAATACGTTGTTCAGCATAAATCGATTATTTCTAGTACACTTTGACTCTGAAGTTTTTTATATTCTGGGAGATTTGTGTTTTTGGTGAGTAGCAAGTATGGAATTCCCTTAACTAAGCTTGGTTCGATTGAGGTGAATAAGACTCTTACGTCGAAGGATATAATCAGTTCGCTGTTGACGATTTGAATTACCTTGTGTTTATCCAAGAAATATATAGAAGGTGTAATGGAGTATTTGGACGAATACATCGAATGTGTCAGTACTCTCAAATTTTCTCTTGATAAGTTATATGTTGGGGTCCTGAGGAGCGATGCAACTGGACGTAGTGGAATTTTCGAACTTTTTAGTTTCGGCCTGCAGTAGAAACATGGGACAACCGGTCCACTGGATTTTATTTACCATTGCAATGGTTTTGATTTTTGTCCTGCTTTGACAATCTTATTTAGAGTCCTTGAAATTTTGTTGCCTAATCTTAATATTGGATTTTTTTCAATTGGCTTATTTACACTTCTATCTTCAAGTAGTTCCCTGGTTTTCCTGGCAAATTCGTCCTAGTCCATAATTAAACTAGTGCATCCTTAGTCCACTGGAACTATGGAAATAAAGGTGTCATAACTGACCCTACATTCATTGAAACTTACACCTGATCAGCGAATTGAATCAATAAACGATCTATAGTAGGTATACACAAAACAGTCCATAAGTAAATACAATCATGTAATGTAGTCAGAGAATAAACATATTATATACAGGGTAGGTTTGAATATTACTTTACAATAACATGCAAATTAAGAAGAAAAGTAAATAGTTATTATTTACTCGTTAAACATAAAATATATATCTCATTACGGATAAACACATGTCTAAATGGGTTGCATATCGTAAAAGGAACCCGGAGAATTTTCCATACCTTGAATAATAGCAGCTCTTCAATAGCATATCCTCTTTACCAGTCGACTTCTTTTGTAACTAACAATGCTATAACTGGACGTAAACCACACATTGCTGCTTATTGACTTAGAACAGAATGATCTTATGACTTGCACATTAAGAAGCAACAGCATAGATAGCAAGAATTGTGAACTTGACAGTATTTTTCAGCAATTAAGCAGAGTAGCTTGTAAGCTTCCCATCAAAATATGATGGTCTTAAGTAAAAATTAAGGGCTACTTTTGTCTCAGGACATCGTTCTTGATAATCTTGAAGACACCTATAAAGCAGTATCTCTTGTCGATTTCATTTTAGTAAAGTTACTATGCGGCTAATCTCTGGAAACAACGTGATTATCTATATTATACCCAATAGAATCCTGAATAAATCAGTGAGGTAATCGATACTGAAAACGACTAACTAGTCAAATGCATTCGCCTGAAAACAGGTATCAAAAGTTCTCGAGCTTATTTAGGTTTAACTCACATTTGGCAGTTGAACAACTGAAAAATCTGAAAGGTATTTATGCGTACTTACTAAATTCAGGAACGCTCATAAAGTCTCACAGACTAACTCAAAAGCCCACCTCAAGCGATTATAATGATCTAAAAAGTTCAACCAATCCTATAAACTCATCAACAAATCTTATCTGTACGCCTCACACTATCCCTGTCAACCGATCTTGTAACTGACCAATGACAAACGCTAGCTCACTTCACATTCCGCACATGCATAGACGAGAACTGGTCCATCCGCCATTTCATCATTTCAGCCCAACCTACAAACAATAGTTGATTTGTCAAAACTACAATTTCGAAATCAGCAAAATACACTTTATGCAGCTGATATAGTAAATGCACACCCAATAAAATACAGATTGATAGGAACCAACATGTCCCACGATTAATCACAAATGCTTTATATACAGAAGCTGCAAGTTAGGACTTTCCTCATCCTTTACTAAATCGGCAAGATGAAATAATCTACCACAGCAGACAGTTGACTTCCTAACCATCTACCAAATCAATTTTATCCAATAATTCTACCCGTAATAATGATTTTTCGGTTCATAAATATCCCTGTTCTCGTTTGCCCTATAGCTTGTTCAAGCCCACACCAGACTATATTCTATTGACCACTAAAATGCATTAAGTATAAAAATATGTAATTGGTTTTTTTATAGTCTATGAGTCGATTAATACTAGACCATCATTAGAAATCTGGAATCAATGGACAGCCATTTTGTCCTGCTATGGAAGTCCAATGCCTATTGGTTACTAATACTGGTCTACCATTAGTCGATTGATACTTTCAAAATAATTTGACAATCTTCACAACTGTATAAAAGCAGAAACGTTTATCATATTCAAACTCTATGTAAGTTTAAATGAATTATTGAAATAAGTAGAGGACTTAGTAAATTTATTGATCAAATTGATTTTCCTTTGATTATTTCGGTTTCAATTAAAATATCTTGGATTCCAAATTGAATTGAATGCATATTTGCATAAGAATATGTTAAATCGTGCCAATGTGATAAATATTTCATACCGTAAAAAAAAAACTCTCAATTCATCACCCTGGGCTTGAAAAATATTTTGAAAATTATTGAAAGCTAACATATTTTTAGAGTTTTTTTATTTATTGAAACACAGATAAGTATGAATAGTGAAAATTCTTTTCAATAAAAGACCATTCATATATACAATTACAAAATCTAAATTATTAGCTTTAGGAATAGCCGCTATGCTGAGTTACATGGAGTGGGATGGTTGCTGTGTGATGCGCCTGAATGTGAGCTAACTGAATCCCACCTCCACCACCAAATGTAACTCAACCTCATAGAAACACAGGTACCGCAAGCACTGAGGACAGTGCTTTTCTATCAGGGGGAGCCATACAACGCATTCGAAACCTAACTCTATCAACTCTTAGTTTCGTTTGTCAGTTTGTCTTAATCTCACGCTGGCTTTATATCTGGTTGCTGTCTATTTATTCGTATATTTCATGTGAGTGCATTCTATGTGCTTACCGAGTCGGTGGGTCATCTTTTTCTCTTGTTCTTTCTTCTTCCAGATAATCTCATAGGCTGCTCCTCACATCTCCCCTAGCACACAAGGTACCTTCGGGCTAAACACAAACCAACCAGAGGCTGAAGTTACAACCTCACATAATAATAATAATAATAATAATAACAATATCGTGGCAAATAATGAATTCAGTTAAATGAATAGAATTACAAAGTTGTCAAATACTGAAAAAAATTATTGTTTTTGTTGTAGCCAAAACTTCAAAAATGATAATCAAAAGTAGTAGTAAAACGATTTGGACTTCGCAGATGATCCAGCTTTCCAGTCACACACACAACAACGACAAATGAAAAAGAAGACGACCAGTGTAGCAGCAGCCTTAGCAGTAGCAGGTGTCACCATGCACAAGGGAAGAAGCAAGAACCTCCGATACAATGCAACATGCACAAACCAAATGACACTTAATGAAGGAGCTTTGGAAGATGTGTGAAAGTTTCACATACCTGCGTAACATTATTGATAAACAAGGTGGATCTGATATCGATGTCAAGATACGGATCGGTAAGGCGAGAGCAGTAATAAAACAACTGAAGAATATCTAGAACTCAAAACAACTATCTATCTACAAACACCAGAGTCAGAATTTTTAATGCATATATCAAGATGGTTTTAGTGTTTGGGATGGAAAGTTGGAGAATCAGGAAAGCCATCATCCACAAGATGCGAGTGTTTATTAACCGTTTTCTATGCGAGATACTGCAGATCTGTTAGCCACACACCTTCAGCAACAACCTAATGTGTGAGAGAGCAAAGTAGGTTTCAGCAAGGAAAGAAAAGGCAGACATTGCGGGAATCACACAAATATATCACAAAACAATCTCTCACCTAGAACCCTCAAGGCCAAAGGAAAACAGGTAGACTAAGGAACACATTGCGCCAAGAACCGGAAACGCACATGAAAAGAATGAGTCGCAATTGGGTAGAAGGGAAAAG